TACAATCAAAGATAGTATCTAGAAGAAAATTTTTAATAATTTTTTCCCCATTTTTGTTGAGCCTGCGACTAACAGCAAAAGTAGGCGAGACACTGGGTTCCGCGGAACCCTTACGAATTTTTTTATTTTGGGCCCTGTTTTCAAATTAGTCCATATTAAGGTTTAAAGGGTCCAAAATTAAATTTGTTTGTTTTAAATTAAAATTAAATTTTTGGTTTTTAGCTCACTGTTCCGAAGGAACTGTGAGCTTAAGCCATCACTTGGCGTCCGTCGTCGTTGTCCGTCGTGGTCGTCCGTCTGGTGTAAACTATTTCAAACATCTTCTCCTCTGAAACTACTGAACCAATTCCAACCAAACTTAATCTGAATGATCCTTAGGGTATCTAGAATAAAGTTTGTGTTTTATTTTCTGTTTTCGTCAAAACACATGGCTGCCATGGCAAAAATTGAACATAGGGGTAAAATGCAGTTTTTGGCTTATATCTCAAAAACCAAAGCAGTTAGAGCAATCTGACATGGGATAAAAGTGTTCATTAGGTGAAGTTCTATCAGCCCTGAAATTTTCAGATGAATCTAAAAACCCATTGTTGGGTTGCTGCCACTAAATTGGTAATTTTAAGGAAATTTTGCAGTTTTTGGTTATTATCTTGAATAGTATTAATGATAAAGATAAACTGTAAACAGCAAATATATTCAGCAAAGTAAGATCTACAAATAAGTTTATATGACCAAAATTATCAATTGACCCCTTAAGGAGTATTGCCCTTTGAGGACAATTTTACACAATTTGTTTATCATGTTTTCTAACTAAAAAATCTTCTCCTCTGAAACTACTGAACCAATTCCAACCAAACTTAAGCTGAATGATCCTTAGGGTATGTAGAATAAAGATTGTATTTTATTTTCTGTTTCGTCAAAAAACATGGCCACCATGGCTTAAAATAGAACATAAGGGTAAAATGCAGTTTTTGGCTTATATCTAAAAAACCAAAGGAGTTAGAACAAATCAGACAGGGGGTGAAAGTGTTCATTAGGTGAAGTTCTATCAGCCCTGAAATTTTCAGATGAATCTGATAACCCATTGTTGGGTTGCTGCCACTAAATTGGTAATTTTAAGGAAATTTTGCAGTTTTTGGTTATTATCTTGAATAGTATTAATGATAAAGATAAACTGTAAACAGCAAATATGTTCAGCAAAGTAAGATCTACAAATAAGTTTGTATGACCAAAATTGTCAATTGACCCCTTAAGGAGTATTGCCCTTTGAGGACAATTTTACACAATTTGTTTATCATGTTTTCTAACTTTAAAAAATCTTCTCCTCTGAAACTACTGAACCAATTCCAACCAAACTTAAGCTGAATGATCCTTAGGGTATGTAGAATAAAGATTTTGTTTTATTTTCTGTTTCGTCAAAAAACATGGCCGCCATGGCTAAAATTAGAACATAGGGGTAAAATGCAGTTTTGGCTTATATCTCAAACACTTAAGCAATTAGAGCAAATAATCTGATGAGGGGTTAAAATGTTCATTAGGCCAAGTTCTATCAGCCATGAAATTTTCAGATGAATCTAACAGTCCATTGTTAGGTTGCTGCCACCAAATTGGTAATTTTAAAGAATTTTGCAGTTTTTGGTTATTATCTTGAATATTATTAATGATAAAGATAAACTGTGAACAGCAAAAATGTTCAGCAAAGTAAGGTCTACAAATAAGTTCATATGACCCAAATTGTCAAATGTGTCCTTAAAGGAGTTATTGCCCTTTAAAGACAATTTTCATAATTTGTTCATCTAGTTTGCTTACTTTAAAAAATCTTCTCCCTTGAAACTGCTGAATCAATTTCAGCCAAATTTGGGCTGAATGAGTTTCAGAGTATCTAGTATAAATTTTGTATTTTATTTTCTTGTACGTCAAAAAACATAGCCACTATGGCTAAAATGGAAAAGAGGGGTAAAATGTATTTCTTTGCTTTTGAAGAAAATATGACAGATTCAAAGAAAATTTCAATGGAATTTATAAGCCACTCATTAATATATATTAAAAAGCAAAAATAATCATTGATGAAAGATTTAAGCAAAAAATTACAGGTGAGGGATTCAGGCTCTTGAGAGCCTCTTGTTTTTTATTTGCTGAATCTAACCATGTTGTTAGATTTTGGATATCAGACCATTCTAGGTAAATAAAATGTCCCATTTCAAAATTTTAAGATCTTTGACCACATTTATTTTGTGTCAGAAACCTATATCATGTTAAAAATTTGATCACAATCCAAATTCAGACAGTATCAAGCTTGAACATTGTGTCCAAACTTGCCCCAACTGTTCAGGGTTCGACCTCTGCGGTCGTATCAGGCTGCGCTCAGCGAGGCATTTTATTTTATATTATCCTGAAAACAATAATAGAAAGAGAGAAACTGTAAACATGGAACATGATAAACATGCAAACTGAGATATATGAATTATTTTAATGATGTTGATAACTAACTTGATATGGTGATAACTGCTTAGTTGAAATCGGGGTACCAAAGCAGTTATCACCATATCACATTGAGTTGTGTACCAATCTCCAGATTTTTTTTTAATGTTTGATTTTTTTGTGTAAGTAAACAAATGTTATCCAAGTTCCTGAAGAAAAATAATCCTCTGGCCTTAATTTCACTTGATTACATTTGAAAAGTGGATTACACATGCATTTGAAAATACATAATAAGGAAAAATGAATTTTTTATCCTGAAAAAGTGAAAAATATAATCAAAATTGCCTGTATTTGCCAGGTGAGTGATTCCTGATCTTAGGAGTCTCTAGTTTCTTAAAATATTTTAATTAAATGACACTATTGTCACCATTTGCATTTTTAAAAAATTGAACTTAGAAAATATCCTTCACCTCTATTGAATTTTTGTCTGCTTCTACCCAATGATACAATGTACATGAAACTTGAGTGGCTAACTCATACTGACCAGTTTGTCCATAATTTATTCAGCCCTTTATTCATTATTTTCATGTAATGAGGGAAACGAAAGAAATATTTGATTTTGTTTAATCTGTTTGTAGAAGAGTTGTATTAATGCTTTGAGAAACTGTACCAATTTAAGAAGTTCAAATGGTAAAGAAAAGCAGATTTTAGTGCCATATGTGACATTTAGCCTCTTTTTTTTTCAAAATTGAATTGCAAGACAAAAAAGGATATGGATACAAAACAGCATATGTCCAGTCAAAAAAATCTTATGTCTAGGATACTTTTGTTGATTCTGTTTTTGTAGTTTTTCCCAATTTAAACAAATCAGACAAATTTAAGTTATTTTTGTTAAAAAAACATGGCCACCTGTTACAATGTTTTTTGCATGCAGATTGATTGTATGTTTTTCCAGCAATTGACCTTATGAAATTGATAAAATCTTATATTTTGACATTAAGAAAAAGATATTTTGTAATGAATAAAAGTGAGTTTAGGTTTCTGCTCTATCATGTCTGTATAGATAAAACAGTTCGAATTCATGCATCTGTTAATTAAAATTACTTTTCAGTATCAAATGTATATATATGATAAGTCATTTTGTAAACTATTTGAAAGCTGTTATATTACCCATACTACATGTTGGAGAGATCTGCTTCATTATAGAATCCCAAAAATAAATTTAAATGGAAAGTTTTACTATGCTTAGTCAGAAAAAGGTTACCTTTAAAACTGCAAGTCAAAATTGAATAGTGGATTAATTCTGTGTCTTGGTTTGCTCCACTTTTAGTTATGTTAGTTAGCTTTTTCTACTGAAGGAAAATAATTTTACAGTGGACTAAAGAAAATGAAAGGATATTGAGTAAATGTACATGGGACAAAATCGCACACAATACATAGAAAACATAGAAAATTATCAATTAACAGGGCTTTTATTCCTGTTCTTCATCTTGACAGTTGATGTAGGGTCTTCAACAATGAACGAATCATTCATACCCTACAAGGTCAAGACGGTCCCTAGTGTCGACTTAAGCGGTACTATTGATAAAAATAAACCACAGTTCACCTTCTTGCTCCCCACCCGCCTTTGAGTGCCAACTTGTGCGATGCTTGTGTACGACGGTTCTCCAGTCGAAAGCACCAACAAAAGAAGGTTACACAACCAAAGATCATTTTCTATTTATATTTATATGTCTTTTATCTTATAAGGTAGAAATGTCACTTTGTTATCCATAATAAAATTGTTTAAGCCAATTTGCAAAGAAGAACGTAAGATCTCATCTACTGAAAGCTTTAATAGAGACAAAATTTACACTATATTATTACAACTAGTGTAAATTACATTATATGCAGTAAATACTACGAAATGAGTATTTATCATAGAAACCATGGCAACCAAATATTTTTAGGCAAAAAGTACACAAAATGTACAACATTCATTTGAAATTTGAATCCAAATAAGATGTTGATAATAACTCATTGCCAAAGAAGTACATTTGTACTTTATAAATATATTTGTTTGTAAATCAAAATGTTGCCATTAACTTAAATCTTCTTATGTCAATATACAAATCATGAAAGTACAGAAATTTATTTTAACACAGTACTTTCATGGTCTAATATATTTTTTATATTCTGAAAACTTCTATATATGTTCTTGTAGAATTTTTTATTTCATTTTTTCTTTATCATGAACATATCACATATTTTTCAATTCAATATGCAAACGAGGAAGATGTTAAGATTTAGCTTATGGCTAGAAATTTGAGACATACTGATATATGCAAGCTTATGTGGAATATACCTTTAAGGCAATTGTTTACATAAATTCAAGGGAGAGGTTTAACTAGAAAATAGAATGGTTACTCTTCATTTTTACTTTTTATGCATTAATATTTTAAAAATTGAACAAGAAACAAAATTGTCAAGTATGTTTTGTGTAAGATAGTTATTATTTTATTTTCAAAGACATAATCCAAGAACAATTGAAATATTGAGTTATCTCCCCTGTTGACAAAATCTATTTTTAAACATAAATTTTTACCTGTTCTTATATTTAATACACATGGACATGTCTCAAGGATGAATGAGTTTGTTAGAAAGTGGTCATTACTGGAAGCTTTACATGTAATATTGCTGCAGGTTTCATGCAAAAGACTAGAATTTTAAAAAAAATCATACAATTCTAAGGAGGAATAGACTGTACAAGATAAAAAGATATTGATAAAGTTATTTGTGGAATTTTATCATACTGTTAGGTGTTAGGAGTTGAAGCAAGAAATGATGGTTTACATGTTTAGTGAATATACATGAAAAATTTAGCAGAAATTGTAAAAAAGGCAATACTAGCCAAGAGGAAATACCTGAATGAAGTCTGAACCATAGCTATATTAAGGAGGAAATACCAGTGAATGAAGTCTGAATATTAGCTATATTAAGGAGGAAATACCAGTGAATGAAGTCTGAACCATAGCTATATTAAAGAGGAAATACCTGAATGAGGTCTGAACCATAGCTATATTAAGGAGGAAATACCAGTGAATGAAGTCTGAATATTAGCTATATTAAAGAGGAAATACTTGAGCAACTACCAAGACACATCTTCATTTGCATATAAGATAAATGATCTCTCATAAATTTCAAAAGTACAAATATTTATTGATTTTTGGTAAAATGATCATAGATTATTCAAAGAAGCAGCTGTTTAAATAAAACTTGCTGTTACAGGTATTGTTTAAAGACATTTAATATTAATTTTATTAATATTTTCAATTCTGAGGAACTTACTGCAGATCAAGTGTGCAAATCATCATAGAAGCAATGGAAAACTTGGCACCAGCCCCTCCATCAAATTTGATGATCAGTTTTGGTCTAGCTATGAATGTGTGTTTTTCTATAACAATCATTATGATCAACAAATGGGTGTATGTATACGGAAAGTTTCCAAACCTTACTCTTACATTTATTCATTTTGTGATAACATTTATCGGACTTTTTATTTGCCGACTCTTTAGAGTGTTCAAACCAGCTAGTCTTTCCATATTACAAGTACTTCCATTAGCAATGACTTTTTGTGGATTTGTGGTATTTACCAATCTGTCTTTAGGAACCAACAGCGTGGGAACATACCAAATTATAAAGACCATGACAATGCCTTGTATTATGATCATCCAGACACAGTTTTATAAAAAATCATTCTCATTAGCCATAAAACTGACCATGGTAATGGACAATTTAATTATTCTATAATTAGCATTGTTTAAATGACTTTTTCAAATTCTGTTTCAGGTTTTTTTTTCCAAACTTATATTTGTTTTATCATTTCAATCATTACTGTGTTACATTATGTATACATTTTCAGGGTATGAGACAGGATTTTGGGGGACACAATACACATACAATGTTTGAAAACAAGGAGAAATGATATTTTAAAATATAGATTTTAAGATAAATTGTGTTAAGGAAAATTGCCATTTTTGTGCACAAATTATTGGAAAATAATATATTAAAATTCTATACCTACATATATGCCAGATTTTTCATACTTAACATGCTTAATATTTGTAATCTGAAGGGATTAAATCAAAGCTTAATAAAGGAAAAATCACAAAAATAATCAAATTATAAATAGTAGTGTGATAAATTAAAAAAACAAAATCTAATGGAAAACTATAACTGAATTTTACAAGTACAAAAAAATAGGGCAATGCTTATTGCTGTGTACCAGTAATTGTTTGAAGTGTTATGTAGTTTACCAAGTTTTATGATAAGGACTGATATAATCTTATTTATAAATAGATAAGTTATCTATTTTTCAAGCTTAGTATTAAAAATTAAATTCTTCTTACAGTTACCCCGGTAAGTTATGTTTGATATTTAAAATGTACATGTCGAGTTAATAACAACCTTCAATATTAGTTCTTAAATTTATGTTAAATAATGATCACTATTTATTTAAGTAAAATATTTATATATGTAATAAGAAGCAATGACAATAATGCTCAATTTTATTTGGTACATGTACCTATTAAAGAAGAGCAAAGAAAACAAATACAAAGGTTCAATAATTTAACATATAATTGTAGGCCAAAAAGAAATACTGGTGTTTAGGATTTCCCTACCCACTCTTTTTTTCTTTGCCTCAAAGTTTTTATTTTTTGTGAATTGTGTCGAAATTTCAGGTCTCCCCATACATGCCCCATATACTTTTAAGTTAAAAAAATTAGTCAAATACAAAAAGAATTCCTTTCTACGTTTATCTTCCCTATCAATATGGTCAAATAGGAAACACATACTTTTTGTTTAGCCTTAGAGCACAGGCTGTTCTTTAAACATTTGAACTCTGTTTTTAGGGGCACAGGATGTTTGCGCTTTTTTACCTGTAACACCATAGGACATTTGCGCTCCAAACACTATGGACATTTGCGCTTTAAATTTTGATACACCTGTATTAAATTGATCAGACATTTGCACTTTTTTACCTGTAGTCATCTGCCTGTAATTTTAATGAGTTGTAATCATTACATAAATAAATTCAAATTATATTTGTGGTTAGTTACTTCACATTGACAGAGTCTTAAACTAGAGACATATATACACATAAATATATATGTCATATGTCTCTGCTTAAACACAGAGTTTAAAGTTATAGACTAGTAAAGGAAAAGAATGTATGTCACGATGGATTTTTATCATTGAACAACAGTCGGTTAATTACATTAAAATTCGTTATATTGATGAACAGGGACCTCATTCAAGAATTGAGAAAGAGAAACTAAAATATTTATATGAAATGTGGGCGAAATACCAGTCAGGACAGATTTAATACAAGAGATAAACTGAGCTTCAGATATCAAGCGAAAACTGACCTGTAATGACTATACGTGTCTTTGTGTCTTTAGAATGTTTAATTTTAGCTATATATAACTATATTAATGTGCTATGAAAAGACTATTAAACTTTTAACCATAATGAAATTAAAACTTTAACTCTACCAGGTCAAACCTACCTGTCTTAAGCCAGGATAAAATAGGAGGGAAGTCATAAGAAGCAAATATTGTAAAAGTGCAAATGTCCTATGTAAAAAGTGCAAATGTCCTATGTAAAAAGTGCAAATGTCCTATGTAAAAAGCGCAAATGTCCTATGAAAAAGCGCAAATGTCCCATGCCGGTTTTTAGCCAGATAGAATGATGTTTAGTTCGGGTATAAAAGTGTTCTTTTTTATTTTTAGTTTTGAAATTTTCGATTTTTGGAGAAAATGGTATCTGAAATTCTCTTAAGCTATTGGTCCTATATATAGTTCCAGATCAATGTGCAAGATTTGTAATTGTAAAAAGATATTTAGCAAGGTGTGAGAAATAATAATTGTATATAAAATAAATCAATATTACGACATGTATTTAAACTTTCTGTTATGCTAATGTATTACAAAAAAAAAGTCTTTCTTCTGAAGTCTTTTTGTTTTTTGCTACATTGTTTGAAGTTAGAAGGTGATAAATATTCAAAGTATTGGTTGATGATTGATGGTTGTAACATGTGTAACATACATTTCTAGAGTGTCTACAAAGTCATGTGACATTGAATTTTGACAACTGACCTGGTAATAGATTCAAGCTCTCTCTACACCCAAGCAGTGGATATATTTTTTTTTAAATTGGATGCCAACCTATGCATCTAATACTGTATGTGATTGGATAAAAATGTTTTGATCTACATGATTTAAGCAAGTAAGGGCTGTAGTTGTAGAGAATTTCCAATCTTGTATAACTGTTCCTGGTATAAGAGTTTCTAGTCACACAAATGTAAATGTTTTATAATTTTGCAATTATTTTACTGGGAGCATGGTTTTGTACAGCATATTAACAGGTTTTTTGGTAAGGTTATTCATCACTTTGTTGGTTTAAGCGAAATGTTCAAAATGTAGATCACTAGATTTTTTTCAAATCAACACAATGTTTCTCTGTGGTCAGTTTTTCCAAAATATTCATACTTTAAACCAAATATAATAGCAAAACTTTGTGATTTACTTTTACCGACAAAATCCACAACATTGGTACCGCATGAATATACTGAATCCACAGTATCCTACGGATCTTTTATTTTAGAAGATTAGTAATAACACCCATGTTTTAACTGAGAGAATTCAATAATCATGCTCCCAAGAAAATGGTGAAAACATACTAGATCCACTTTTAAATAAGCTGTACTATTATGGTGTCATTTCAATACAATGATATTGTTGATTAAATAGGTTTCTTGGTTGTCTATACACTCATTGTTGAAGGCTGTACTGTGACCTATTGTTGCCGTACTTTGACCTATAATGGTTTACTTTTACAATTTGTGACTTGGATGTAGAGTTGTCTCATTGGCACTCATACCACATCTTCTTATATCTATATACATCTACGTCATATGGTCTTTGGTGGATAGTTGTCTCATTGGCAATCGTACCACATTTCCTTATTTATATATTAATGAAAGACATGACAAACAAATCAATTTTTGAATATTTTCCGAAAGTCCCCAATTGTTCATTTACCATGTTTACAAAATTCCAGGTACTAACTAGTGTTACAATATGACTGAATTTTGTTTAATCATTTTACATTTATTTTTACCTACGGTACATACACAAATATCTTTTTTAAAATGCCAAAAAATCATCAACATGACACAATTTCATTGCAAAAGATAACATTTTTTTTTCCATATTTATGTAAACAATATATCATTAATTTCAGTGTTTTTTTTAATTTTGCTGTCTTTCAGATTCCTATAGCTTTAGGTGTTTTCCTAAATTCCTTCTATGATGTCAAGTTCAACTTATATGGAATTATATATGCATCTCTTGGTGTGTTTGTTACTTCACTGTATCAGGTGGTAAGTAATAATGGAAAGATTGCATAAACAAGTACTGTAAATTATAATTTCAAGATCAAGTATACCACTACAGAGTTTAATATTCAAGCTTAAAATTAGGTCATTGTGACAGAATAAGTGAAATTTTTTTAAATGTATAGAGAAATTGTAGCATATTTAAATGAATAAATAAGAAACACAGAAAAATCAATATTTCATTCATATCCTAATACATGGTAGCAGGGATCACCACAGGCTGTTTAAAGGTGGAGCTCCTCCACCCTTAAATTTTCAGCTCCACCCTTTAATCTCCAGCACCACTCTTGAATTTCTCAACACCACCCTTGAATTTTTGAAAAATGTGATGAAAAGGTAAAATTTTTGACAATTTTTACTTCAAAAGTATAAATTCATGCCTTAATTACAATTTTTTTTACAGTGGCTTGAATTTGTTTATCTTTTTCCTAATTAACAGATTATGATCTACTATAAAGATCTTGTGTGATTGTAATTTCAATATAATTTTTTTTTTGTGAACACCACCCTTAAAATAAATTCTGTGGTGATCCCTGCGTAGTACAAAATGTATAAAGAATCAATTTTACTGCATTCAGCTATAGGATAATATTTTGTGATGGAAAAATATTTAGTAACTTTTGAGCATTTTAATAGGATAAATATTGTAACTTTGTTTGATAATTTCATCATATTTAAACATATTAAAGGACATTTTTATTTTTATCCAGTAATTAACAAAATTAAATATTGTTATTTCAGTGGGTAGGAGAAAAACAGCATGAATTCCAGGTGAACTCAATGCAGTTGTTATATTACCAAGCACCTCTATCATCAGCTATGTTGTTTGTTGTCATCCCTTTTGTGGAACCTAGTGTGTTCAGCTTCTATGGAGCACTGGGAGAATGGCCAATTCATGTTATTGTAAGACTTCATTTTATGAGATTGATATCATTAGAAAAAAAAACCACTGAAATATATTGTTTTCAAATGCACAGAATAACTGTATATTTTATATAATTTTATGGTAATTCCATTATGGACTAAGAATAAGATTAATCAAAAGAAATAACATTCATGATGGCTGTTGTTAGGTTAAAAAAAATAACAGTATGAGATACAGAATACATGTATGTTTACTTTATAAAGAACTAACATTTTTTAAAAAGGGAAACAACTCATATTTGAATGGTTGTCATTCCACCTTATATGTTTAGATCAGTGGAGTCTTTTATACAGAAAAAAATATGCTATCTAGAATAAAGTAATTCTTTTCTAAGAAAATGTAAACTTCTTAAATCTACTTCTTTTAAGAAATATTAACATTACTTTAAGTATAAGTTTAATTTCACAAGATTGTATGTGTGTGTTTGCTTGAATTTAGTATTTAAATCTTGTCAACAAATTTTTTTTCATTTATATTTCAGGCAATGGTGCTTCTTTCAGGATTGGTAGCATTTATGGTCAATCTTTCAATATTCTGGGTTATAGGAAATACATCAGCTGTTACGTATCCTTTATTAAAAAGACCAGAGAAAAGAAGGTGGTAAAATAAAAGACAAAGATGCTTAGTTCAAAATATTTGTATCAGCATCATCAAACATTATTTTTAAGAATGATCGAAGTTTTGAGTGCACAATGACCTAGTATTTGACTATCTCTTAGAAGATACAATAAAAGACATAAAACCTATATGAACTGACCTTCTATTAACTAGAGATTATCCATACTGAACTACATGTATTAGGACATACAATGAATATTTTTGTTATTGAACAAGTGTGAACTAAATACCTGTCAAACTCAGGCACTTATCTTTTAAAAAAAATATACCTATATTTACCTTTGCTTAACACAAGGTTCTCATCTTGCATTTTCGTGAAAAAGACGCTCGGTCTTGAAATTTTCATTATTTTTCTATTTGATAGTTGTCTATCCCAGTAAAACTTATTAGGTTGTGAAACTACATTAGTGTATCTATAAATCTACAAAAATTACAGATAAAATGTTGAGTTTTTTTGGGGTCATATTTGTCAATTACTGTGGATTCATTTATTTTCGTGGATACCAAATTTCGTGGATTGAAGAAAACTTATTTTTTCATGGATAATTGATTTCTTGGATTCGTCAAAGTCTGTATACAAGACTTTAGAAAATGCATACTTCGTTAAACATTTAAATTTGTGGTTTACCTATACCCACGAAATCCACCAAAATTGGTATCTAACGAATAATAATGAATCTACAGTAACACATTTTTATGACATCACAGTTAACTCACAAAATCATTTCGGAACAAGAACAATCAATTCAATTATCAATAATTTTAACATTATTTTAAAAGGATTAAGGAGTTTTACATTTTTTTTAGATTCCAGAGGGCAAATAATGGTACCTATTAAAAGTCCTCCTTTAAACCAAAAGAAAAGAAATATTTGAAGTTTATTTTAATTGCACTGTATTATTGGTTTACAATCTTTTTAATGATTGTTCCATAACTTGTTTTGTTCACAAGTATATTCCTTAACTTTTACTTAGATATAATATGGTTGGTCATCTAAAATTCTGTTTAACAGTAGTTCTTGGATTCCTTCTATTCCATGATCCAATCAGTATGTTACAATTGCTTGGAATTTTACTTACATTATCAGGTGAGATATGTATATATGTATAAATCACTTTTATTTCACAATATTTCAAAATTATTTCAGTTATTTTCTTGGGCAAAATGCAATTAATTCTTTGGTATGAACTGCACCCATGGTTCATTTTATTTATGATATTCAGAAATCTATTATTTGGGAAGAAAGTGTCAAAAATGAATTAGAAATAATACTATTGTAGTTATTTTTAAGGGTCACTGTGGCCTTGTGGTCTTGGAATTGGATGTCTACCTTACAAAGTGTTCCTGATATGCTTCATTTCATTACAGTAAACAAACATTTCATTTCTATTCCAATCATTTTCAAAAAGATAAGATGCAGTTAGTATTTCTGCATCAGTGGTATAATTGAATTTAAGGCCTCATATCTTAGTGGTCTGGTGTTTTGATATGATATTTGTATTTACTGCTTCTTCACCAAGCATGTGGAAGAGAAGTGTAAATGTCAAGATAGGTTGTCTTAAAATCAGAGTATTGTGTCAAGATAAAGAGTCTTCTTATATATTGTTCACTAGTGAGATAACAAACTTTCAAAATCTGATTTAACATGTTGGTCTTGGATAAAGCAGGGCATATTTATATCTCCTTTACAATATAGTTGTCCTGAATATATAAAGATAAGGAGATATGGTATGATTGCTAATGAGACAACTATCCACTAAAGTTCAAATGAAGATATTATTGGTATATAGTCAGCTATAAAAGGCTCCAGCATAAAAAATATGAAACAATTCAAATGAGAAAACTAACGGCATAATTTATAACAATACAATTTACGAAAAAACAAATATGACAGACAAGAATCAATATCAACCACTGAATTAGAGGTTCTGATATGATACATTGGTTTACTCTTGGTACTCCAAATTCATCAACTATGTAAGCTGGCTGCCATGAATTTGTATGGTATTTAAAAAGTGGCATTAAACCAAGAAAACAAATAAAATATTCCTCATTATAAACATACCCATCTAATTGTGCAAACTTGGTAAGACACTGAAAACTTCCAATTGTGAAAATAGTGTTTTTATTTGAAAATATTCACTGCAGCAACTACTTTTTAAGGAAAATCTAAGTGGTGAATTTATATGATTAAAACAAATCAAGGGATCATTATTAGGAAAAAATTGTATTATTTAGATATTTTATTATACATTTTTAAATCTCAATGATGATAAAACCTTTTCCAGTAAAATATTTCATTTAAATTGATTAAATTTGGATGAATCTATAGTGATTAATGATAGTTTTGAAAAAATAATAACAATATGTGAAAAAAAATTTACATTATCCTGTCCATTTACTTCTTTGTAATAGTTAACCTCTTTATTAAATCATTATCCTTTTGTAGTTACAAAGTATTTCATTTCTGTTCAAGAGTGTTTTTCCTTGTAAGGATTGATACAGAAAGTTCTATTAAATTTTTATAAAGTCTAGCTGGTAAAGTAATGAAAAGTCACATATTTCACATACACTGATGAATTAAGAAAATGCCTGCACACATTATTTAGAGCTTTTGCACATTTAATAAAGGTAATTTCTTTTTTTCAGGTGTTATATTATATACACATATAAAGCTGAAGGAACAAAAAACAATGGCAGTTAAATTACCTCTATCAACAAAAGAGTGACATGGTGACAGTTTGATTCATAGATATTCAAACAATATTATATTACTTTTTCAAGAGGACTTGTTAAATTTCAGATGTAGTTTCAACTTGCCAGTTGTTTTAGTGATAAGTTATTTAAAATGTTGATTTTACTGTAAAAAGATATATAAGCTCACCTGGCCCAAAGGGCCATAAGTGTGAGCTATTGCCATCACATGGCATCTGTGTTTTGTTGCTTATCTGTTGTTAAATGTTTAAAGTATGAGGCATGATTAGGCTATTTTTTTGGCTCCTTAAATTTGGAGATAAAAATGTACTATAAAATTATCAAATAACATCTGTCAGATGTTCAAGGGCTTTGTCTATCTGATATCAGTACTTAAACAGTGTCGGTTAAACTTCATGTGTTTCAGTTCAATTTCCATTTTAATAAATAAAATTCGCGGGGGACATGGAAATACCGGGTGTCAGTCTGGTCTTGTTAGCGCTCTCACGTGTACAATTCTTGCCAGAATTTTATGAAACTTTAATCATAGGTTTATATTAGCAATGTCTTGGACGAATTTGAAAATCAGTACCGATCGATTATTTTTAAAAGAGTTATGCCCCTTGGAAACATTAATTTTATGGAAAATTGCATTGTTAGCGCTCTCATGTGTTCAATTCTTGCCAGATTTTTATGATACTTATATCATAGGTTTATATCAGCAATGTCTTGGACGAGTTCGTAAAATTAGTGCCGATCAATTATTTTTAAAAGAGTTATTCCCCTTGAATATAAATTATATGGAGAATTGCATTTTTAGCTCTCTCATATGTACAATTCTTGCCAGAATTTTATGAAACTTTAATCATAGGTTTATATTAGCAATGTCTTGGACGAATTTGAAAATCAGTGCCGATCAATAATGTTTAAAAGAGTTATGTCCCTTGGAAATATTAATTATATGGAAAATTGCCTTATGAGCGCACTAAAATGTGATCAATTCTTGCAAGATTTTTATGAAACTTATATAATAGGTTTATATCATCAATGTTCTTTAAGAGTTCAAAAATCAGTGCCGATCAATTATTTTTAAAAGAGTTATGCCCTTGAAAATATTGATTTTATGGAAAATTGCAATGTTATCGCTCTCATATGTTCAATTCTTGCCAGAATTTTATGAAACTTATATCATAGGTTATATCAGCAATGTCTTTGACACTTTCGAAAATAAGTTTTGATTAAATATTTTTAACAAGTTATGCCCCTTGGAAATATAAATTATAATGGAAATCACATTGCATTTGCTCTGAATCCTTCATTTCTCTTAAAATATTAATAAAAAGTTTTAAAGAACAAATCAAAAGTGCTTTTTTTAGTTATTGCCCTTGTACCTTGGATAGATAAAATATGTGCAACGCGGGGGACATTGGAACTCTGTTCTTTTATAAATTATTTATTGTCCTTGATCTCATTTTCTTATTGTCCTTGATCTCATTTTCATGGTTCAGCAACTGCTTGAAAAAAATTTAGAGTTGTTTTATCATGTGAAATACTCACTTATTATGAGTAATAGAATACCTATATTTGGTATATGGGATCCTTACAAGGTCTACATAATGTCAGACATAGTTCACCTGACTTCTACCTCACATCATGGATCAGTGATCAAGGTTACATTTTTGTGTTCAAGTTTGTACCTAAGATACCATAAGCAGTAGGTCAACTATATTTGGTGTGTGGAATGATTGTAAGGTGTACATGTCAGACTGGTACCGTAGGTTTTATATGACCTTGACCCTATTTTCATGGTTCATTGGTCAATGTTAAGTTTTGTTGTTTGGTCTGTTTTCTCAGATACTATAAGCAATAAATCAGCTGTACTTGGTGTAAGGTGTTCATGTTTGTCTGCAGGTATCATCTGTCTTTGACCTCATTTTCATCGTTCATTGGTCAATGTTAAGTTTCAGTAGTAAGGTTTTCTAAGATACTATTACCAGTAGGGTCACTATACTTGGTGAATGGGATGATTGCAAGGTGTACATGTCCTGTCTGGCAGATTTCATCTGACCTTGACCTCATTTTCATGGTTTATGTTAATCAGATACTATAAGTTATAGGTCAACTATAACTCGTTTATAGAATGATTGTGAGGTGAACATATCTGTCTGCCAGGGTTCATCTGACCTTGACCTTATTTTCATGGTTCATTAGTAAATTTTAAGTTTTCGTGGTTATTTCGTTTCTCAGATACTAAAAGCAATAGATCAACTATATTCACTGTATATAATGATAACATGGTATTCATGCTGTAAAGGTTCATCTGACTTTGACCTCATTTTTAGGGTTCATTGGTCAATTGCCAATGTTCAATTTTTCGTAATTAGGTCAGTCTAACTATATTCAGTGAATGGTATGAAATTCAGTCATGATAAGTTAAGCAGGCTAGACATTTCAGCGTGTGCACTCTTGGTATAAATAGACAAGTGTGTATTTTAATGTTCTATAATCAGGTATGAAAGTATATGGAGCTATGTGATAAAAAGATGATTTTAATCAACACTTAAATATTTAGGAAACTACAAAAAAGATATATCAGAAGTTTTGCTTAAATTACCAGTACATTATGCTGTAAAAAATATTAGATTTTTTTAAAAGCATTAGATATGTAAATTCATTAAAATCATTTCTACAAAAATCCTACACAGTTGACTGTATGTGTTCGTGTTTTTTATAGGACCAAAATTGAATTTGACCTAATTTGCATATGTAAATTTTTAGGTCAGGTGATTTGCTTCTAGTCCAATTGATGAACTCTTTCTATAATTGAATATATAATAACTAAGATGACACGGATGTAAGAACAAAATTTATCAAATGTCTTTGGGGTAAACTTATGGTTCCTTAGAAAACTTGTCATTATCCCCCTCTGTATATTTAAGCAAAATTTATATATGTAGGACTCTGAACCCCGATGGTACTCTGAACCGCCATGGTTATTGAAAATATAATAACTGAGATGACCAGGATGTAAGAACAAAATTTATCAAATGTCTTGGAGTAAACTCCTGATTCCTTAGAAAACTTGTCATTATTCCCTTCATATATTTAAACAAAATATATATATGTAGGACTCTGAACCCTGATGGTACTCTGAACCGCGATGGTCACGATGATGTGCGATGGTTTGACCCTGAAGTGTGTTTTTTATCACACTGAAGAGCGATGATGGCATTGTGACGCTATCTTATTGATAGCTACACCGAAGTGTGATGGTGGTAACGCTGAAATGCAATGGTGGTATCGCTGAAGTGCAATGGACTATATAAACTATACTTTCAATGCTTTGCAGGTCAATGTAAAAGTCAATGTGTTTGTTAGAAGCAGTTTTTTTTTTTAAGTTATAAAGTGGCTTATAAACTTTTTAATACTACAGGAAACAGGGAGAGATTGGTAGAGAGGCCGAGAGGGGAAGTTAACCTTCTGTAGCAGATTTTTTTTTAAATCTACAAAAGGTAATTTTTTTTATTTCGATGGAGCGTAGAATTCTCTAAATAAATATGGGTTCGCAAACAAACTCTGAATTATATAATACTATGTTAACTAGGAACTCATGAGAGGAACCAAGTAAAGATAGAATGTAAACGCAAAATTATGTTCACATGCTGAAAATCAGAGGATGATCTCTCACTTAGTATGTAACTGCAACTAAGGACACAAAAGGACAATAACTAATGGAAATTTATATACTAACCATTAAAAAGTCTCCTTCTCATAGGATTAATAATGAAACATCTGTGATTTGAAACTAGCCATCATGCATAAAATAGACAATCGCACATCAGCGAACGGACCATCACACTTCAGAGCAGACCATGGCACTTCAGAGTGACCTTCACACTTCAGCGTCCCCATCACACCTACAAGTCCTACATATATATGCTTAGGAACAGTTATATTTTAGTGATCTTATTAATACTGGCATTGTCTAATCCTGAGTATTCATTTATTTTTGTGGATGAGAAAATATTGTATTTCATGTCAATAAGACAGGGTAAAAGAATTGCAGATAAATATAGAACAAATCTATTTGAAGATGCTATATATTAGCACACTCTGTGCAATATGATTTTGTGTTTTTTATTGTATATTGTTGATTTTCTTTTTCTTTAGATACATGTTTATTTGTCAGTTATAGTATATTATATTGTTTGTATATAAAATATGTATTAAAAACCTATGGTTTTCAATTTTTTGTAATTTTAAGTGGTAGTTTGAATTCTGGTCCATATTCTCACATCAAAGCCCTATAGTTTTCACTTTGTCCATCCTTCTGTTTGTAAACAATTTTTGTAATAGCTAAAACTCCAATAGAATGGGATGCACACCCTTGAAATTTTGCACAGAAATTGTGCATAATATGTAGTGGATAACAAAAATTTGTTAAAAAATTAGAAATTAAGGGAAGAACATTTTGGAATTCTAAAAGTGTGTTTTGTTCACACATTGTTATCAATATAATGGAATTTTATGCGACTGTCATACAAATGAGAGGTTTAGCTAGCTAAAACACCAGGTTTAATCCACCATTTTCTACATAAGGAAATGTCTGTACCAAGTCAGGAATATGACAGTTGTTTTCCATGTTTGAGCTTTTGATTTTGCCATTTGATAAGGGAATTTCGGTTTTGAATTTTCCTTGGAGTTTTGTATTTTTGTTATTTTACTGTTTAAACCTTGGACACTGGTGTAACAGCACAACATAAGAACAAACTTAACAAGAATGTGTCCATAGTACACGGATGCCTCACTCGCACTATCATTTTCTATGTTCAGTGGACCGTGAAATTGGGGTCAAAACTCTAATTTGGCATTAAAATTAGAAAGATCATATCATGGGGAACATGTGTACAAGTTGATTGGACTTCAACTTCATCAAAAACTATCTTGACCAAAAACTTTAACCTGAAGTGGGACAGACGGACGAACGGACGAACGGACGGACGAAAGAAGCACAGACCAAAAAACATAATGCCCCTCTACTATTATAGGTGAGGCATAAAAATCAGTTACAATTGGCTTAACTCGAAAGATCAGTATGAGGCACGAAAACCACTAACATCATCCAAATGCTTGCAAGAACTGAAGGGTAAAGATTGCATTTTTTGCAGTTTGCACTAAAAATTAAACATTGCACTGTATTAAGCATTGGGTGGTTCAACTACAAATATGGACAGGTAGATAACTACTTGATTCATACACCATGCACAATTTATGTTCTTCCTCAACAGGAATGGTTATACACATACACATCATTTTGTAACTTGAATATCTGAGTAAGAATGCAATTTATACCCCCAAAACAAGAGACTCAAAGCACAGAAATAAGAGTATTCACAGTTACTGAAAGCTTGTTCAAAGCCAAGTACAACCAGATTTAGTGTGACGACATCATAAACAGTCTAAGAAACACAAAGCCTTGTGCAATGCAAAAATATAAGTATGCAGTATCGACAGGATGTAGAATCAAAAGTTCACATAACTGTACATACATAGCATTATATATTTAGCCATGCTTTAATTTTTCAAAAACAATATAAAAAAAAAGTAAAATAACAAAAATACCAAACTCCAAGGAAAATTCAAAACAGAAAGTCCCTTAACAAATGGCAAAATCAAAAGCTCAAACACACCAAATGAATGGAAAACAACTGTCATATTCCTGACTTGGTACAGGCATTTCCTTATGTAGAAAATAGTGGATTAAACCTGGTTTTATAACTAGCTAAACCTCTCACTTGTATGACAGTCACATAAAATTCCATTATATTGACAACAATGTGTGAGCAAAACAAACAGACATAGTAGGTAAAAATGTCAAAAAAGAGTTTGGCTGTGCCTGTAGAATTCTTATTAAAAAACGGGACATCACATCCCAATATCCAACTACAACCACTGTACTACAGGCTCCTGACTTCCCAATGCATGTACCTATATAAAAACAATATTTAAAGATTTTACTACTGTGTTAAATTGATAACCTTTAAGAATAAAATGATTCAAAGGATCAATTAGATTACATGGAATTTTATGGAACATCTAAATTTAATGGCTTTATAAACAACATCTGTGTTAGTATTAGGATGTATTGTCCCGTTTTTAATAAGAATTTGAAAAGCACAGCCAAACTTTCTAACCAAATTTTTGTGTCTTTGAAAGAATTTTGTAAAGGTTTTAATTAATTTCTACATAGTAATAGTGTTTTATATAAAGGACTTACTGCATGTTTGAGTATTTAAAAAAATTAAGGTTGATCAATGAACCATAGTAATGCGGTTAACTTGCATTGATTCAGTAAATCAAATATAGTTTATCTTAAGCTTATACTCGTAGTATCTGAGAAACACCTAAACAAAAAAGCTGAAGACAGATCATAGAACCATGAAAATGATGTAAAGGTTGGATAACCCCTTTCAAACAGTAATGTACAACTTACAACATTAAATGATCTAACTACAACCACTATACTACAGGCTCCTGATTTGGGACAGACACATAAAGAATGTGGCAGAGTTAAACACTACTTGTTATACTTCTTTTGAAACATCCTGTGTTGATCTGTTACAGTAAATGCAAAGCTGACCTAAGCTCTGAAACACAACATTGATTATTGAACTGCTAACACGTGACATGTCAAGGTCAGATGATTCCTATCCACCTTACACACGCTATATATACAGTCGACTCTTGTTATCTCGAAGTCAGCCAGACTAGAGAAATATTTCAAGATAACAGTAGTTCATGTATTCCCAATATCATTTCCTTGTGTTTTCTAGTTTGAATTGTTTCACATTTTCCATGTTTGAGTCTTTTACAGCTGACTATATGGTATGGGCTTTTCTCATCGTTGAAGGACGAACAGTGACCTTTAATTACTTATTTCCACTTCAATTGAACTCTGGCTTATAGTTGTCTCATTGTCAATCATACCACATCTCCTTACTTTCATATAAAGTATGAAAAGCGAGAATAAAAGACAACACTGTGCATACTAGCAGGAAACTGTGTCCTACTAATTCCAGAGAAATGACAAAAAAAAACTAATTAGATTGCCAGAGAATTCACACAAAAAAAACCTAATTTCATAGCAGGAGAATTGACAAAAAAAAAAACCTAATTTGATAGCCAGAGAAGTGACACAAAAAAAAAAACCCTCCAAATTGTTTGATTATTTAACAAGACTTTCAGATATCATGGACTTTTCAAGGCAGTCAGCTTTTAGTGGTAAAAGGAAGCCAGTATACCAGGAGAGAATCACAAAACTTCTGCAGGAAAACTTGGCAATCCTAGTCAGATCAGATTTGAATGCATCAACCATCTTGCCACGATTCTTTTCATGTAAAAAAACAATATGTTAACCATGGATGCCAATATAACTACATTGGGTGCCGAATTAACCAAGTATTCTTTTGACAAGGCAACAAATTGACTATACTGGGTGCCAATTTAACCAGGCACAGAAGTGACTAGAATTTGGTCTGTTCTTACAACCTAACCATAATGGTAAAGGAAAGGTTATTCTGTCTTGCAAAACATCTAAGGTCTTTCTTAACAAATTGAAACAAAGTACAATGTAGCACATGCAAGATTTTTTTAATAAAAGGTCGGTAATATGTATGATCACAGATTTTTGCACATGGATTTTACAATTTGACAAAGGTTAATGTACAATGTTGAAGTACATGGAAATGTATTGGCCTTTGGAAATGGCACAGGTAAAGTTCTTGCAATGCTATCCATGATGGGTTGATGTCTTATTGACAATTCAATTTTTGCTTGATTTTTCAGTGAACACCATGCAATTATTGACTTTTGGTTTGGTTGATACAGTGATTTTTCAACCCTAGAGATAATCACAGAGGCCAATGGCTGGGATGAATATTACATGTCTTGGGTTGGTAAATCATTGTATCAACTGACAACAATTTTGACATTTATTTAATACCTGCACATTTCATCTGATTTAGTAACCAACCTTTGATTGATGTTAAATTATCTACACTGATTGTTGAACTGTTGGGAGTCTTAGCATTAGCACTGAAAAACCATGAGTCAAGTGATAATGAACTTGAAATTATGGGTAATTTTGATGACCTTATACAAGTCATTATTTATCATATTCACAAATAGACAATATTATCTGTGTGTACACCACTGATTGACAACAAATAATATAATAAAAAGAGTTAACTAAATTAAGGAAATTAAATCTATTGCAATTCTCTCCAGTAACATTGATGAGTTTTTTTATCTAGTGGATAAACACTTAAAGATGTGACAATTTTACTCATGTTTCAATTTACAGTACATACAAGGCTGCTTAGGGTACAAACAATATTCAAATATAATCTCACAGCCAAAAGACACTGCAATCATTTGTTTTACTGCTCTTATCCTAAATGTTGCCCTTTCACAATACCAATTGGTAAATGTTTTACCAAAATTGCAGTTTGAACTTACTTCTACAAACTGATCATCTCCATAAAACAGTTTAGCTCATAGCTAGTGAAAGGTTGTTAGTATGAGGCAAGTGCAGTGTATCAAACTTACTGCCCTGGAAGACTTGAGTTTCACATCTGACATTGAATTTGAATAGATGTATTTCTTTACAGGTATATCAATTGTAAAGGCATATGAAAGGTAATATACTGTAAATTCAGAAATTATTGCGAGGTTTTTATTAATGCGAATAACGCGACTACTTGAGTATCGCAATAATAAAAACTTGCATTCTGATATCAAATACTTATATCTGTACGTAGCTTTTCCAAAATTCGCAATAGTTAAACTCGCATTTTTGTTAATTTTAAAAAAATCGCAATAATAAATGCACGCAATAATTTCTGAATTTACAGTAGTAATTTTTGAATTGCTATAATAATGTCCCATTTAAAGTTTTCAAAGAATCTTTTTTAAAATTGTAAATTTTCTTTAAATGTTACAGAATTGTCTTTCAATCAATATTTAGACCACTAGAGAAATATATTTTTCTCTAAAATATGTTTACTTGAAGTTTTAAAGGGAAATAAGAGCCCAATCACTTATTCATGTGAAAATAAATAATTCATAGATATCAGATTATCTCCCATGGAATCTTATTGACAACATATTTTTACTTCACATATATTTTAATGAATATTACATGTTTTAATTCAACTAAATGTCTGTTTCTTATATATAGAAAACATTTTAAAAGGAAAAATGTGAAAAACTTTACACTTGATAATTATATAACAAAAAAATCAAAAATGACTACATTTAATAACTTTATATGACTTTACAAATTGCTATATTATTTAAAAAATACATCTATATATTTTGAATAGCAGATGTAAAATAGACGTATTTACACTTGTATGCAAATTTGTACGCCATTATGTAAAATCACACAGGTTCCCGTAAACTTTGACATCAAAATTCAAAACATTTGACGTCACAATTAAAAAGTGATTGTTGCCCGACTTCAAAAGGTGATTCGGAGTAGATCTAAGGTCATTCGGAGGCAAAATATAGCTAAATACCAAAAGTGTAAATATGTTTATTGAAGTCCTATAGGATTGTAAGTGTAAATTTTCATTACACTGTACTTGCTTCATATATACTTACAACCTTTCATTAGCCATAAAAACTGTTTTACCAGTTGATAAATTTGTAAAGGTGAATTAAAACTGCAATTTGGTAAAATATTTAAGCAATTGGTATTGTGAAAGGACAAAGACTTTAGGATAAGCTCTGTAAGTTTTAATTTAGTTTTTTTCCCCTTTTGTCTCATTTTGAAAAAATCAAAGAATACTAACATACAAACAGTTTGAAATAGATATTGTATTGTTTATTACAGATTTCATACATCTTACAGTCATCATAAACAAGAAAACAATTAAATCAAATATAGTCAGTACTTTTACAAGTGGCTATCACATTCTTTTTCAGTCTGGGGATTAGACTTGAGTTCATCACAGAGGAGCAGTTGTCATGGAAACTGTTCATATTTCATGTATCATCATCTATTTCCTCTTCATCACTGAAGTAGGCATCCTTTTTGTATTTTTTCTTCTTTGGTTCCTCCTCAACATCAGCAAAATACATACTACTCTCACCATACCTCATTGATGTTTTTTCCATCTGTTCTCTCTACAAAATATATTTTATAAATGTATAGATATAGTCTACAATTGTAAAACAATATATAGCAGTACTGCTATTTAGTAATGTATGTAGATAAACAAGTGAAAGTTTAGTTGTCAAGAGTTTATAACCGATGGTATCGAACATCTGTGTCTGGATATTCACAGAGAGATATTAATGATGTTGTGATTTCTACATAATGAGTTCTAATGAGCTTTGGTGGTTATATTTGTTGATTTGTAACTATAAAATTTATGCACACTTGTCATTTTCACAAATCAGATTAACAAAATTTCAGTTTCAAGAACTGAAAATAAAACTGCAAGTTAATTACACTGATCATTAAGTTTAAACCATGATCATCGATACTAATTGAAAGATATTTAATTGCTTTTTGGTTTTTGGTTTTTTTTCCGCTTATATACATTTTGACATTAAACTCTTTTTAACTGCATATTTTAGGGAAGAAGAAGAAACCGTTTATTCTATTTTTTTTTTTTTTTTGGTCACCAAATTTCACAGTTATTCAATTTAAAACATAGTATCTTAATGAGAACTTTTGATTTTTTTTAATGTGTGTATATTAAAGTACAATTTATTTGAATATAGATTGTTTCAGATTTTTATTTTTTTATTATTATTATTCATATTTTTTATATATACAGATTTCATTTACCAGTAAGAAATTTTTTGAAATTTCTAATTTGTGTGCAGGGATGTTATATTTATCTTTTTAATACTGGTTAATGAAATCATAATACAGTGTGTACTGGCTGGTCATTATCGTGTATGATACAATTTTGACACCCCTATATACCTATTGAATATTCATGAATTGATAGACAAGGACAGCACGTGTAGCCAAAAACTGGCAGTTGAGAGCTGTAGATCTGAAGCTTAGACTAGCCTATACCTGATATTTTATGGCAGCAGCCAGACTGTCTAATGCAGGGTTTTCTGTTTGATCATCACTGTCTTCTTCTTCCTCCTCCTCTGTATCTCCCCTGGAATATAATAATTATCAGTCATAAAATAGGCAATTCTTCCCCCTCTTCTGTAACCCCCCTGGAATATAATAATTATTAGTCATAAAACAGGTAAATTGGTTATTAGTGCATGTTCATTTCAATTCCTTACTATCAAACTACTATATGTTTATTAAATAAAAAGCAAGAGTATTTTGTATACTAAACTTGAGGCTTTGAGACCATAGTAGAACTTATCAGTGATATCACAATGTGTGAGGAGAAGTTATTAGCTATGTCAGAATATAACAGCAGGACTTATTAAACTTACTTTTGTTAAGACAATCAAGTGTTAACTGTTTAAGGGAGGAAAAAAAAAACAATAATGATGCAAAAAATTGACTTTTTCGATTTTCTGTGTACAGATATCGTAAAACATCACCCTCTCAACAAATTGTGCAGCTCACCAAAAAGGTCCACATAGTTACGTGAAATTGATATTTTATGATTTCAATGTGAAGAACATGATAACCTATACATGTTTTGCTATAAAAATATTTACTATGTTAGCTTTCCAAAATATCCATTTTACTTACTCTCCTTCAAACTTTTTCCTCTTTCTTTCTTTCTTTGGAGGAGGTTCTCTTTCTCCGAGTAAATTTTTGGGGCATTTATAACTTAGATGTCCTTCTTCCTGAAAGAAAGAAATTGAATTTGAGAAACAGAATCTTGAAGTTGGTGAAAGATGTTGTGTAGAATTGAAAAATACAAAACACCAAAAATCTGGACAATCTTTCTCAACATTCGGGAAGATCTGAAATTCCAGTTTTTTTTTCATATAACTGTAGGTTTACAGCCAGGTAAAATTAGTTTCATCAATCACCCTGTTGTATCCCCTTCATCAATCACCCGCTTTGTATCCTGTTTCATCAGGTTTTCTTTTGGAAGGGGTCACTCTAAAACCAAACAGACTCATATCGTTTACTGGTAATGTTTTAATATTATATTCCTGAGTTTCCTGGGATCTTGTATGACAACCGGCCACATGACTACACATCAATTCAATTGTAAAGAATTTAAGCAAATACATAAAGTTCCTTTCAGTAAAGTTGCATTTCATATTTATTTTTGTTCTAAATGCTTTTGTAACTTTTTGACCTGCAAATATACAAAAGTCTGTCGGATGTACCTAACTACCGGATTAAATGTCCGAACCCACAAATGAAGGTCACGGACCTCGGACCACCACTAATTTGAACCCCTGAAAGACATATATACATGTAACAAGGTCAGAATGCATACCATTAGATGACTTCAAAATTTTCATATTTTTAAGATTTTCAAATTGTGCAATAAGATTGTTCAGACATAAATTTGATAGAAATCCATAACAGAATAACACCAGCATTTTTCATTCTGATTAACACTGTTATTTATGTGTTGCATGTATAATTTTAGCAAATAACTTACACCACATTCATAACATCGAGATTTATCTGGGTAATCTTTCCTCTTGATGAATTCTTTTGCTCTTCCATTGTCTTTAGCTACTGTACATGTAATAGTTCTATCAAACATCTAAAAATATATGTAACCTATGAGTAGGAACTATTTTGTTTCAAATATGTACAAATTTCCAATATGTAATTTTGACAGAGCCCGAGTTGGTGGTGATACATCTCACAAAGTCAACCGTATTTATTTGCCCTTTACATAACGTTATTTCCTACCAAGTTATCTAACATATATATTGATGTGCCCCGTGGTAGTCCAAATGTTTAAAATTGAGAATGGAAATGGGGAATATGTCAAAAAGACAACAACCCGACCAAAGAGCAGACAACAGCCGAAGGCCACCAATGGGTCTTCAACGCAGCGAGAAAATCCTGCACCCGGAGGTGGTCCTCAGCTGGCCCCTAAATAAAATTGTGTACTAGTTCAGTGAAAATGGACATCACACTAAACTCAAAAACATATAAATGAACTAAAATTAAAAAACATACAAGACTAACAAAGGCCAGAGGCTCCTGACTTGGGACAGGCGCAAAAATGTGGCGGGGTTAAACATGTTTTGTGAGATCTCAACCCTCCCTCCCCCTATACCTCTAGCCAATGTAGAATAAAGAAACACATAGCAATACGCACAGTAAAACTTAGTTTAAAGATGTCCGAGTCCGATGTCAGAATAGGTAACAAAAGAAACTAAGCAAAATGACAATGATACATAAACTAACAAAGGACTACTAGCAGTTACTGACATGCCAGCTCCAGACCTCAATTAAACTGATTGAAAGATTATGTCTTCATCATGTGAAAATCAAGTACAATCCCTCCAGTTAGTGGTTTAGTATCATACCATCATAAAATATATGAGAAGAACATAACCTGTATCATGCCAACAACTGGTTTTAGAACAAATGTGTTTATTTCCGATGCAAAGACCCTATGAGTGAATCAATATTAATACCAAAATATGCAATCCTTAATGACTTGACAACAGTATCGTAACTATATCCTTTCTGAATAAGTCTGTTTAAAGGTTTTGTTAGCTTTTGAGGTGAATGCCGACAATTTTGTGCTCTGTAAAGAATTTTACCATAAAATATTGCATGTGAAATACCTGAACTTATAAAATGTTTGTATTGTTTTTTGCACACTTCAGTATGATTGTCCGCTAGATGACAGTAAATGTTTGATTTATTTTACTCCATGACATTGTTCTTCAATTCACAGTTGTGGAGTGATCATCAATTTGCAAAGAATATTACCCAAACCGGTGCCAAGAGGCGGTCTTAAACTTGCAGTGAGGTGAAAGTTTTTGCTCCATGTTGAGGGCCTCACTGTGACTTTGAGATGAAAAACAGCAATAAAAGCGCTATTCCTTTGTGTTTTTTTTTTGGGGGGGGGGTTCTTGCTGTGCATATGCTGATTTTGTGTCATGGATGGATACCCCATATCCTTTCTTTTCGAATACACATAATCTAAGATGATTAAAAAAAACAAACAAATAGGTGTATTAAAACATTAAACAATTCTTTTAAATTTAAGTTTCCATATACAATGCATCATGTTTAGTGATATATACCCATCTATTCACAGGGTTATTTTGTAATTTTAACTCATCTTTTATACAGGTTTTCTCAGCCTCAAAAAAACATACTTTAATTTGCAATTTTCAGAAGTTAAACTGACATTTTGTTTATGTCTTCTCATAATGTTCACTGAAAACATCCCATTTTAAGGAATTAGATTTCAGAATAGACAGCTTAAGTATATTCGGTTAACATGTTTATCATCTATACTGACTTCTCTACAACAATGTACAAAAAATACTACCATATTATAATAACATGATGTACATTTGTATCTCCAAAATTATTGTAAAATCATTCTTAAATGAATTAATGTTAGAATTATAACATGAAATTGTAAAATGAACCTTCAACAACTGATAATATTTTGATTTAATACAATTCTTGTACATGCTGTAGTACAATATAATTCACATTTTTTTTAAATGTGAGTTTTATTATTGTGATTTCTTTCAAATGGTTTTTTTTTACTAATAAAAACATCAAATTAATTCCTCATTTGATAGTCTCTTTGGTACATGAATCATTTTCATCTTTATAACAATAGTTTTCTGATTACTGCTTCATTTCAAAAAATAAAATTACAACAACTTTATTTAGTTAATAAACTGATCATAGATACCAGGCTTCAAATTTTGTAACAAATGCAATTAACTAAACATGCTAAAAGAATTAATCAAACTTTTATCATTTGATGATTACAAATAAAATTAAATCATAATATGTAAAATACCTTTGTTCTGTTCAAAGCTCGCACAGCTTTAAAGGCTGAATCTTTTTCAACAAACAGCACAAAAGCAACACCTTTGCTTTTCCTTGTTGCATGATCCTTCAAGATAGTTACCCTGCAACACACAATTAGGAAACATTGTACAATGTACTACAGCAAAATACATATCGGCCCTTAATAGTATCAAGAATCACTACAGCCTATTTTAAGTTTAATTAAATACTCAGATACTAGATATTGAGTTGACATTTAATAATCATTATAATTTAAAAAGGATTTTGTCTTTATATTTTTTTTTCAAAGCTATATTAATCAATTTAAGCTTAAATTTCTTGTAACATGCTTAAATTTATTCTGTACATGCACAACTATTCAGATATTGATTATTTCTCCTGTACTTCAAGTCATCACCATTACCATTTGCAACTGAAAAATACTGACCATGCAAGACCCTCATGGGTAGTTGAGGTCGTTAATAAATGTGGATAGTGTCCACATGTGGACACAGATGATGCCCCCGCTTGCATAGCATATAGTTATAAAGGGACCTAACTGAAGAACGGTAAAAGTGACGCTACCCAAATTTGTATAAGTTTTATAACATTTGGTAGAGACAAACTAAAGTTAGAGAAGGGAAACGAAAAATTCAGCAATTTTTATGTTTATAAAGGGACATAACTCAAGAATGGTAAAAGCGTTCTCACCAAATTTCGTACTTAATCTGTATTATGTAGTGATAAGCATTGTGTATAAGTTTCATAACATTAATGGTTGAGGCAAACTTAAGTTAGAAAACGGAAACAAAAAAATTGTACTTGATCTTAGTTTTGTGGTAATGAATATTGTGTATAGGTTTGATAATGTTTGGTTGGGGCAAACTTAAGTTACAGAATGGAAACTAAAAATTTTGCAATCTTTTAATTTCTAAAGGGGCATAAATCAATAATGGTTAAAGAGACACTACCCAAATTCAACTTGATCTGTGTTTATCAGTGGAAGTCAAAATTAAACATTGCATTGTATAAAGCATTGATTGTAGTTGATTCAACTTGATCTGTGTTTTGTGGTAATAAGCATTGTGTATAAGTTTCATAACATTTGGTTGAGGCAAACTTAAGTTAGAGAACGGAAACTAAAAATTTTACAATTTTTCCATTTATTAAAGGGCATAACTGTAGAATAGTAATAGGGAACCCACCAAAATTCAAACTTGATCTGTGTTTTGTGGTAATAAGCATTGTGTATAAGTTTCATAACATTTGGTTGAGGCAAACTTAAGTTAGAGAACGGAAACTAAAATTTTTGCAATTTTTCCATTTATAAAGGGGCATAACTCTAGAACGGTTAAAGTGACACCACCAAAATTCAAATTTGATCTGTGTTTTGTGGCAATAAGCATTGTGTATAAGTTTCATAGCATTTGGTTGAGGCAAACTCAAGTTAGAGAACGGAAACCAATTTTGGGACGTATGTACGTACGTACGTACAGACGGACAAGGGTAAAACTTAATTACCCCACCGCTACGGCGGGGGCATAAAAAATCAAAGTGCTTGTAAGCATTGAAGGGTAACGATTGCTTTAATTTATCAGTGGGAAGTAAAAATTAAATATAGCATTGTATAAAGCATTGGTTGTAGTTGATTCAACTACAATTCTGGACAAATAATGGTTTACTTTTATAAATTTTGACTTGGATGGAGAGTTGTCTCATTGGCACTCATACCACATCTTCTTATATCTATAAAGGTAGATAACTCCAATTTTTAAAGATGACTTTAACAATGACATCATTGATATTTTTAGAACAGATATTAGATTACTGCACCTTGCAAAAGTTATATAATTTTCTTGACAAGTATAACATTATTTTGTGGCTTGAATATCTGAGCATATATTTCATTGATAAATTTCTGGAAATGTTCATGGATAAAATGTATAGTATTTTTCGATCAATGCACTATATTTTGTGTATCTCAAAGGTAGTTATAAACCTTGGAAGATTTTGATATCAAGTCAGTCCCATAGGGTTTTGATTGCATTTCATGCAATCTTTACCCAAAAAACCTCGTCATTGTAATTGTAACTGAATGAATAATAAAAAAACAAAATTGCTTCGCTGAGCGCAGCTGGAAACGACCGCAAAGGTCCAACCCTGAACAGTTGGGGCAAAAATGGACACAATATTCGCGCTTGATACAGGTCTGAATTTGGATTGTTATTAAATATTTGACACATACATGTGTAAAAGGTTTCTGAAACAGAATAACTGTAGTCTAAGAACTTAAAATTGGTTATATGATTTGAATTTATATTCAATTTTTTGCTTTTGTGCAATTCACTTTGCTGTTGCGAATTGTCCCCCCCTCCCTCCACAAAAAAAATAAAAATTTTACCCCGCCTTTTTTTTTGCTTTTGTGCAATACACTATGCTGTTGCATATTGACCCCCCACCACCACCACTTTTTTTTGCCAAAAAAATAATATTTGAAGATTTTTTCTTTTTAATTTCTGAAATCTGAAATGAGAAAAAAATGACCCCCACAATTTCTTTTTACCTCCCCCCCCTCCCAAATTTTTTTTCACCTTCCCCCCTTTTCCCCCCCAAAAAAAACTCTTTCCTTCAAGATATGGTCATAATCTCAATTCAAATTTCCTATGGAGTTTGCAACCATAATTACCCATTTAAATACGTCATAAAAGTCTTAAAATAGAAAATGACGTACATAATCATGGCGAAAATTAATATTCCTTAATAGTAACTTCTAAAAATAAATTGACAGCTAATCATCTCAAGACAATACAACATTTCTTTATACATAATTTAAAAGCAGTGTAAGGGAGGTAATCCAAATGTTGTTTGGATTACCTCCCTTACACTGCTTTTAAATTGTCTTAAGTAATTGTCCATTAAACAGGAAAACCTTGTTTTCCCCCCTTTTTTGCCGCTAATTCCTATACGGTTTGAGCCATAACCCTCCAAAGCAAATCCTAACCATCCCTTTGTGGTATGGAAACTTGTGGTATAATTTCAGAGAGATCTATACACCGTTCCACAAGTTATTGTCTGGAAACTAGAAAAATGCTTATTTGGGCCCCTTTTTGGCCCCTAATTCCTAAACTGTTAGGACTATAACCCCCAAAATCAATCCCAACCTTCCTTTTGTGGTTAAAAACCTTGTGTTTAAATTTCATAGATTGCTATTTAATTATACTAAAGTTATTGTCCTGAAACCAACTGTCTTCAGACGACGCTGACGACGACGACGTGATACCAATATATGACCGCAAAATTTTTTGCTGTCGTATAAAAAGTTAGTGCTAAATGGATGAAATTCAGGTACTAAAAGCAGTAAAAGCAATACAATGTATTTGTTATTTAAACCATCTTCTACTCTTACCGGTACTTCTCTTGTTTTCATTAACAGTGGTATTCTATCAAGATTTTGCATAATTCATGCAGTTTGTAATAAAGGTCACAGCCCACCTGTCAAAAGTCCTACATGTATTTCTATTGATTGATTGATTGGAGTTAAACGCCAAATTCAACACTGTTGGCTATTTTGTTGTGGCCAGTTTTTATCATTGGAGGAAGCAGGATTGCCTGGAGAGAATGATCAACCTTCAGTAAGAAAACTGACCATCTTAGTCAATTAAAACTGGAGTCGAATACACCTGCTACATGTACCTGTGGGACTTTAACTCACAACCTCAGTGTTGATAGGCTAGTAGTGTACTCAGACCACTTAGGCACCCAGGCTCTCCATTTACTAGAGTAAAAAGGCTTACAATCATTCTATACAACCATATATACTTTACCTTTTACTTGAAATACTTATAGTATTTGAGAGATAAACATGGACCCATGTCTTTTCGTATGTCATATGTTTTTGTATAAATCATATTTCGTCTGTTTCGATTGTGAACACGAACCTTGTGAGATGTGTTCTTGTTTATATTCAGAAAGACAACATCACTACAATGTGATAAATTTCAAACAAGTTTAATGTTGCTTTTAAAGACTTATACTACAAATTTTACCATGCTTGCTTATTCAGCCACTTTTTTTAATGCAAAAAATATGCATCACTAGAAAAGTTAAGAAAAATTCAGAAAGATAACATGGAGTACAGCTTTGTCATCTGCCTCCCTGACACCAGATCATCAGGTCACATCACTTTCATGTGATTATAACAAACCAGCAAGTTGAAATTAACATGGTTTTTATATACATGTAAAACGGGTTGTCGAGATTCAATTTATTCAAATATGATTTAAAGTTAATTAATGTAACAACTATATCATGTATATAGAGAATGAGAATAGAGAATAAGAGATTATTTATTGTTTAGACTCCAATTCAGGGCCCTTGATGGGTAGCATGACAATTATACACACAAAACAATACACTATGATTATGCAATAAAAATTACATTGAAACGAAATCTTAAAAGTTCATATAGTTATAACCCTACATATATTTCTTCATCTTGTACATGTACAATTTATTCCAGGACCAGAACCATAAAATTTGTACAATAATCATCGTTATTAATTATATTAGTTCATGATTTGCCTAACATCTAGACATTTGATAATTTAATTCCCTAAACAAGCTAAATATTTTAGGACAGACAAATTTTGTTTCATTTGACATATTTGAGAGATCTGAAAAGTTATGACAGATATTGTTTATCTCTTAGAAAAATATCTCTCTCTCTCTCTCATCATTGTATGCTGGACAACTAATAATAAATGTTGTTCATTTTCAGTAAAGTTTAGAGTACATGTGCATTCCTTACAAAGCCTCTTATCTGTTACTATATATAAAGTTTTAGATCTGTCTCTTTCTATTTTGAGATAATGGGCACTGGTTCTGATTTTAAATATGACATTTCTCAATTAAAAATTGTTTAAAGACAGTTACATTTTTTTGGAAAAACAAATAGATGAAAACAGTATTAATTTATTGTAATTAAACCCAAATTTTAAATTGATCTTCAATTAAAAAAATTGTCTTTTTTAGAAGCCCAGTGCTAGAAGGCAAACAGTCAGAGCTCTGACATAAACAAGTCAGAATTGTCAAGACTTGTGAAAGTCAGATTATGCATTTTAAC